TGTTAGTAAACAATGACAAAGTGACAAGAGAGTTGTCAACCAAGATCTGTGACAGATCTTACTAACTTCATCCCGGGGGCGATGGGGAAGATCACTGGACAAAACATGGGGACAAGGTATGAGACCTGGAGCACCTTTGCTTCCTTCTCCTAAACTGTTTTCTGCTATGTCATCATCTACAGTCTATCTTTTGGAAAACCACACTTGACTGCCAGCCATCTATACTCTATGGAAGTTTGGAAGTCATCAGGGATACAAGATGGACCAGGACAGGATGCAAGTGGATGTTGTTTGCTCTTTATTTTTATTCTTTATCTTCTTGTACAGAAAGAGACAAAAGTTAACAGCGAAGCTCGACAATCATAAAAAGCAAGAAAGCGAGAGCAATAGAGGTCAGAAGCAAGTTTGCTCGTTGCCCCCAGGATCTAATGAAATCCTGACATATTACTGAATACACAGATTTCCCAGCTGACATAGGTCAACACATAAATATGAGCACAATTTAAAGTGGTACCAAAATTAATCCATTTCACAGTAATCATTTCTATAAGCTCAGTTGCACATACCAGGGTTTCCACTGTCACAAATTCACAATTACAGAGTGAAATAGCAGGTGTGTTGAGGCCTGGGAAAGTGGCATCTGTGAAAGGAGACAGACTGGAAGGCAAAAGCAGCTAGGGTACTGGTCCCATTCTGGGTATCTGTGTTAATGCTTGGCTGGGGGCAGGAGAAGGGCAGGCACTGTTCAGCGGTCAGATAGCAGTACAGTGAAACAACTGTTGAGCGCTGAGCCCAAGGGGGTGTGCTGTTTGGATATCTTTGTGAGAGAAATTCCTGCTAGAGAGAGAGAGACTCACCGCCCACAGCCTGTGAAAGGAAAAGCTCCCGAAGTTTAAATATTTGGGGGCAAATGATGGGAGCAGCCAGTCTGCAAGCACAACATCTGCTTTACAGAATACTTAGAAAGACATATACTTGTGTTTAAAATTGCAGTCAAGTTCACAAACTATGTTATTCAGAGGATAAATACAAGAGTGGACTGAAAGGCTGAAATTTCCCACAATGGAGAGAGAACAAGGGATCACCCTGCACAGAAGGAACCTTACAGACGAGAAATGCTGAACCCCAAAGCTGAAGGCACGGTGAAGGGATCCTTAATATCTTGAGCCTTTCCTTTGAAAAGGGGACTCACTTTAAACTGGATTCCTCTTACACAGAAGACCCTGGAAATTGACCAGCGGGAAGTATCTTTTAAATATTTTTATGTAGCAGGAATTGCAGCTATCGTGAATTATCTCAAATTGTGATTTTCTCTAAGTTCTGAATTATAGTGGGCTTCAAATTAATGGGCTTTTACAGTAGCTGCAAGCAGTCTGATTACAGTACTTTTAAATTAGCTAATTATACTGATTAGTATTAGTAGACTTCAGTGGGGGAGTGTGTGCTTGTTTCTGAATCGGAGAAGCCCTGAAATGGAGCTTCATCCCTTGTCAAGCTGAAAAGCAGTTCAGCCTTGACTGTGAGTGGACACACAGGAGCCAGAGCATATACATTGTTCTAGAAAGAGCCTTGGTGAGTCAGAGAGCCTCTCTCCATCATCTTGCTCTCACTTGGACAAAAGAACAATCCAGAGGCAGTGCTTTTTTTTTTTTTTCTCATGGGATACAAGTTGGTTGTCAAAAAATCTACTCTGGCTGGGGGCTGGGAGTCTCCTTGCACTTGGAGAAGGGAAGCATCTGGCTCCAACTACTTAACAAAAAGACACTTTCCTGTCCTGAATTCTGAATTCCTCCAATGGGCTACCAAAAAAAGACAATGTCCATCAAATCAGGCACATTCCTGTTTTCCAAAGCACCCTAAAGATTTCACACTAATGGCAGTGGGATTGGCAAGTAGAAAGGAGGCCTTGGCCTCCTGGGTCCAACTGCTCAGCACTGCGTCTCCCTCAGCCAGGGCACAACGCAGCTGTGCAGGGGATGTGCACGCGCCAGGCACCTGTGCACCCCACTCTTTCTCTTGTGCTTTCATTTTGAAAACCCAAGGAGATGGGCAATGGGGAAGGGACAGGATTGCAATTCTTGTTTTAAAAAGTGTTAAAAAGTTTTTGGTTGAAAATGAGTGACAGTCATATTTCAAGGAACTTTTTAAAGCCTTTTCTTTTTTAATGAAAAATATCTAAGTAACTAGCCCCGCCATTCCCAAAGTCAATTGTCACACATCTTTCCACACACACACGCACACACACAAAAAAAATATCCAGGAGTACTGAGAATTCCTTCAGCTTCTGATGCCCACAGAACAGAGCCAAGGCTGGGGCACCATGCCAAAAGAGTGTAAGTGAGGGACCCACAGAGTGAAACGCCTTCATCTTCTTCCAAAGCCTTTTGTGGGGGGACAAAAAGTGATGACTTTGGATGGGGGCTCCAACAGTTAATCTCGGTTTTCCTCACTCAGGGCCCTGTCAAGGCTGCCCAGCCCTAGGAGGGGACATTCCTTCTTTCAGACCGGATCCCTCCTGGTACAAATATAGCCGCACGCCGGCTATTGTTTCAGATAAGCAATGAGAAAAGGCAACGTGCATACGTGTATACACACACACACACTCATACACAAGTCCAAAAACAACAAAAATGTGGCTACTGAAGTGTTAGCATTGTATCAAATCAACATTCATACAAAGACAGTTTGAAAAGATATGTACAGGGCATTCATAAAAGCCAAGTGTGCACCGCAAGGAGTTCTACCCACTGTGCATACTCTACAGTCTTTTTTTTTTTTTTTACTGCATGCTGCAAAAACCATCCCAGAGGCTTTGGCACAACCCCACCTGGAAAAACTCGGTGAAGCACCTGAACCAGAGACCACAGGCTTTAAAGAATTGTGTCTGGCTCTCCCTGCGGTCTGTCCTCAGCCCAAGGAACACCTGCTGCCCTCCACAGGCCAGTCTCCAGGCTTCTGCTTCCTACTCTCTCTGTTGGTCACCACTCAGCCTCAAGATACTGGGCTCAACAGATGCCATGGGCAGTGGGCATTCCTTGGCATAATCCCTCTGGCTCTGGTGAGTGGAACCTATGCCTGGTTCTCTGCTACATGGTAGGGGGAAGGGAGTCACATTGGGCAAGGTCTCTTTTCACATGCTCCCAGGTCACTCTTGGGCACCTGCTTGAGAAAATCCTGGGAAAACTGGGGCTGGCCCCAGAGTTTCTGGTTTTCTCCAGGTCCTCCAACATGGCTGAATGGAATTGGCCCCAGTTTCCATCAATGAAAAAGTAAGGGACCTTTCAGGCCAAAAGTCCCTTCATGAGGAAGGGCAGGAGTGCAATGCTAGTGGTCCAGGGAAGGGAAAGAGGAAGGTAGGCAAGTGGGAATGCCACCTGGTCAGCATCTCTGGCATTAGAGAACACTGAGAGGGCAGAGGATACAAAAAAGGTCATCTGGCTGGAGATTCCTCAGGTTGAGACTCAACATCAGAGGCAGAAAGGCCCTCAGAAAATCTTACATATTTCTAGAAGAATCCCCCTAAGGGCAAGCCTCACTGGCTCCATGGTGCTTCAAGCATTAGCTTAGTCAACCTCCTGAGGCTGTGAGGAAGAAGGAAGGATGGGAAAACATACCCACAGGATCACATTAGCCAAGCTGTCAGCCTCCTGACTTTGAACATGTCCTGGGACTTTCCCCAGGACTGAATGGGGCCTCCAGAAATCATCTGTGGCCCCAAGGCAAGGCTGTATGCAGGGAATGAGTCCCGGGATGTCTGCCTTGGAGAGCTGTTTAGACAAGGAAGCTTGTTATCAGTGGGCTTTAAATTGCTGCAGTTGCCAATAGACCCTTGCTCTGCACTCTTTTGGGCCCCAAAAAATTTGCTACATTTTTTAAAGCACCACAGAGGAAAAATGATTTGGCACTGCAGCCAGGAGGATGGTGAGGGGGTGGAGACAGATGGTATCAACAATGCCTTTTGCATGGTTACTGGCACAGTTACAGAGCAGGTCACCTTGCCCAATTGCTGTCCAAAGCCTCACCATAAATGGACCAGCACCTAGCCATGGCAGAGCAAACCCTGGATGGGCCTTCAACCCCAGGTCATGGGCTCCCACACAAATAAATTTTGAAAAAGAGACACTTTGGGATCTTCTCCTCAGGTGGGCACCATCATTAAGGAGAAATAATCAATTTGAAGTTCAAGTTCAATGCATCTATTCACAAAAAGGGAAGTATCCTAAAATTTTAAAGCCAGAGAGCTCCATGCTGAGGAGGCCAATCTCATGGGTTTAATTGTACTGTGGATTAATCAACCACACCAGGAGAAGACTTCAGCTACGGGACCCAGTCTGCAGCCTAGTCCTTTAGGAGGGCATGAACTCTACAGGCAGGGTCAGGAGCATCAGTTTTCCCCAGGACAAAGTGCTTCTGGGCTGCAAGTGGGCTCAGGCCTATGGGTAGTGGTTTTAACAGAGCTGGTATACAGGTCTGGGGAGATCAAGCACACCAGAAAAGGGTGGCACAGTTCTTGCGGGCCCCTTGGTCAATCTGCAGGGAGGATCTCTGCTACCCAGCCCCCTGCCCTGCATCCTTCACACAGACCTCGTCAGGAGGGTGGGGGTGGAGTCACAGAACTGTGCAACTGACTTCCCTAGGCCTCATAAGAATGGCCTGGGTGCTATTGTTTGTTATTCATCTTTGTTATTACATTTTTGTAATTACATGATTTGTTTTGTTGTTGCTAAATCCTTGTCCCATCCTTACAATGTAAGAGAGGACAGAAAGCACAGAACTGTTGAGGAAGACTGGTGCTGTGGGGCTGGCTTCTCTCCCTCACCTCTAGGCCCATACACAGGTCTCCAGCCAGCCCCACAGCTCCAGCCACAATCAACACAATGGACTGATTCCTTTGGCATTAAGAGAAGCCAGTCCCTGATGGGAGGACAGGACAGTGGGGGTTTGGGAGGTTTGGGAAGAGCTGGGCTCTCAGGTGTGTAGCTCTTCCCAGGGGGCTTTGCCTCATGTGTGTTCCTGACCCCCATCCTCCCCACCTGTCTCTGACAACTGACTTCCTAAAAATCCACGGTTAGGGAATTATTTGGCAACAAGGAGGCTAAGGCTGTTTTGTGGTGGCACAGTCTTTCAAAAGTTGAAAAGAAAACAGGAGGCCTCAGAAAGAGGCTTTCACACAGGCCAGAACAAGTGACCTACTACTTGTCTGCACCAGGGCTGGCGGCCACTATCTCCTCATATTTTGGGGGTGGGTCACTGTAGGAGACACTGGCCTCCTCACTGCTGCCCTCCTGGGGTGCGGTCACCTCCTCGTAGGAGGGAGGAGGAGTGGCACTGGACAGCCTGGAGAGAGAGAGCTCAGGGAGGTAGAGAGTGCTCTCAAGCCGGACTGTGGCTCTGCCCCCTCGGCCAGACCCCAGCACCACCTGTTGGGTGCTCCCAGCCTCACGGTGACCAGAGGACTCTCCCTGGCTATGCACAGTGCCGCGATACACCATGACCCGGGGGAGGCTGTGCCCAGTGCGACTGGCTAGGTACCGGTTCTGAGCATAGGAGGGGTGATGACGAGTTGCTTTCTGCAGCTGGCACCTCCAGATGATGAACAAGGCGATGACAATCAGCAACGCTACTCCTAGCAGGGGCACAACCACATACATGGCATCCGAACTCTGGGAGGGGTCTCGGACTGAGTAGACAGCATTGGGGTACCCCTTCCAGAATTCCATCTGCAAAAGAAGAAGGGCTACTCACAATTGGGGAAGGTGGATGTAAGGAGATGCTCACCAAGTGCTCATGCTCCACATAGACCCCAGTGGCCTTCAGCAAGCCTCAGCTTAGGCTGGGCAGGACCTGGGGCTCTTTCCCACCATTCCTCTTCTGACTGCCCTGGAAAATCCATCAGAGAGAGGCTGTAGAATGGACCAAGCACAAAAGACATCGGTCCCATGTGAGAAGGCCCTCCCAAAATCAGGCAATGGAACTGGAAGGGCATTTGATCTGTTCCTCTCTGACCCCAGTGGATATGCTAAGCTGGGGTGGCTTTTGTTCCTTGCTTCTGACCCAGCCCAGGTATCCAGGTCTGTTATTGTTGTTCCTGGGTCTACTTTTACCCCCAGAACCCAGCCCCAAGGTAGTACATGCCGTTTTCTCTTTGTTCTCAAACACCTCCTTGACTTCCTCGTAGCTGCAGATCTCTTCCATGCACTCTCGCTCAATGGTGCCCTGGCGCAGCTCCTCCAGGAACTCGTTGGCACGAGGGAATCGTTTCAGGACAGAATGTGCATTCTTGGCCTCCAGAAACACTGAGGAGAGAGTGGTACTGAGGACTGCAATGGGGATACCCAGGCTAGCCCGGGGACGGAGGCACAATTAGGGCAGGAAACAAGGCAAAACCAGCAACCACATGCCAGGCTTCCTCCACCCAGAGGGTGGGTTGCTCTTTGCAAAAGGGGTAAAAGGGATGACTGTCTACAATGCCATGCTATTCCTATCTAGACTCCAAGGATCCTGGAAGGGTCTAAGCCCCTGATAATACAAAGAAAAATGAGAACCAACAGAAAGGGCAAGAAAGAATGCAAGTTCTGAGTTCTGTAGCCATCCATGAATAAATAAACAGGATCTGCATTTACGTCTTTGACACTGATGCTGGTGGGACTCATACTGGTAATCACACAGGACTCCACCAGGAAGGCATCCATTTGCCTGAACTGGCTGCCTGTGCCATCAGGTCACCTGGCATGAGTAGTTTTACTTGGGCATTCTAGTACAAAGCCAGGCTGAGAGACTAAATGCATATGAACCTGAGAGTACATCCTGGAATAGAGGTTTGGGGTCTACATGGAGAGTCTAAACATTAGTAGATCTGGCACATACCCTTCCTGAAAAACTGCCATTAAGTGGTAACCATATATATTCCAAAAGAACAAACCCAGCTAGAGTTGTATGACTGGCATGAAATGAGCTATGTATCTCCAAAGCTGAAGTTTTGGAAGATGAAATAAGAGGTAACATTTGCTCCTGGTGTTCATCCAGAGGTGGGCACCTCTTAGTTTCCCCTTCTCTAGGCCTCATGGCCTGTCACATTAGTGTGTTACAAAGGCCTGGTAAGTGCACATCTCCAAGTAACACATGCTCCAGAAGTCAGCCTCAGGATGAAGAGAAGCTGCTGCTCAGCCAATTGGACAAGAGCCACAGGGCCACCTAGGGAGAGGAAAGCTGAGAAGGACTTGAAAAATGAACATGTTCTTCTCCCATGAGTCCCTAGGCAGGGCTGAAACCCATTCTGCTGGGTCAGGAGAAACTCACCTGCCATGATGCTCCCTCAGGCTTCAGTGGCTCACTCGCCTGGCAAGAGAGAAAAACAGAGTTGTGGTAAAATCACACCTTCATATCTTTGGGGAACCCCCTCCCTGCCCTGGAATGGGACACCCCACACTGACCTGGTCAAAAGATCAAAGCAGCACATCGTGAGGTGCAGCACCCTCCATGCCCTCCACTCATACCTCCCATTGTTCTCATTCTCCCCCAGGCTCTTCTCCAGAGCTTCCCAGGGACCCAACAGAGCCCAAAGCAAACCTTTCAGCTATTTCCCACAAGAACACATAAGGGTTGACCTTTTTCTTTAAAAAGGAAAACTCCTACAAGCTAAAGCTCTTTCTTTCCTCACCCCCTCAATGAATCTTTGTGCCTTCACACTGGAAAGGACCTCAAAGACAGATAAGGAAATGAAGCCCAGAGAAAAGGGGGAGGGGGAGATTGGGCAAGGTTAAGCAAATGAACCACAACAGAGACAGGACCTGAATTCAGAAATAATTCTGATCACAATGGAGTGTCCCAGATGCCTTTAATGACAAGCACATTCCTTGAAAACCAAACTTAAGACAACAACCACCATCTCCAATGTCCTACAGTAACCATCTGCAGACACCTGTTCTGCATGGTCAGATCCCCCACCTACAACACAGTCATATTCTTACAATCCCAAAACAAGATAACCTGCTCGGTTCATTTTCACCATTCAGGGAGGCAAGATAACTGGGCTGTTCTGGAAGCAGGCATCTCTCAGTCTCTTTGTGTTAAAGTCCACTGAAGCAGAGTACCAAGAAATGGATTTAAACAATCAAAACTGAGACAAAGGGCTGCAATAGAGCTCAGGGACAGAGCACTTGCTTAGCATGTGCAAGGTCCTGTGTTCCATCCTCAACACACACATGTGCATGCAAACACACCCACACCTACACCCACACACACAAACACCCCTGAGATACTAACTAGAAGAGTTGCCTCTAACATGAACTACCATCTCACAGCCTCCTCTCATTTTCTCCTAAGGAGTTATCTGGCCAATATGTAAACCATGGGCACAGTGTACCACTCTCCTGCCCCTCCTTGCAACACACATTCCTATGCACTAATCCACCATATTCTGGAGCACTGGACAGGCCATCCACATCTGGGAGCAATCATCCCCACTGTTCCCCTCCCCAAGCAGAAGCTCATGTTTTATGACTAACGGGATGCAAGACATGTGAGCTGTGTAACCCATTATGCTACCCTTTTTGCCTAGACTGCCAGGAAGTTCAGTGTTAACACTAATAGTCCAGCACATGCGCCCTGGGGCCCCAGCTGTTAGGCACATATGCTTCTCTCCTACAAGTTGGTGTGGTTTTCTATTTATGTTTCCAGAATCCTATTGTACATTTACACTGTGGCTTCTAATCCTCTTGGCAAACAGGTAGGATAGAAAGCATGGATAAATTCACAATGAAAGGAAAAACAACAAATCTAACATCCATCTGTGGTATCACCATGTCAAGGGACTTTCTCTATTGAATCTTGCAACAATCTCACCAAAGACTCTTGACATATGAATGTGAATTTGCCAAAACATGGGCCTACCATTTTGTGACAGTTGTCACTTAATGTTTATAATGGTAAAGATGGGACATTATCTCAAAATTCTGCCTTCATTATGGATATCCAAAGCCCATGTCTTGAGGTGTGGGGCTATCAAGCCTGACAGCAAGGTCTTTTGGTTGAAGGAAAATGGAACCGTTGTGTCAGTGTTTGAAAAGAATGAGCAAAGGCTTCACTAATAAGGGAAGAAAGAAAAATATGCTTCAATGCTTACGGAAGGGAACTGCGATGTTTTTAATTTTTTTTACATGGAAAAATTACATAATAGCATACATACAGCCAGCTACCTTTTGTCCCAAACACATAGACTTTGGTGCATGCACACCCACACATATCACGGACCCAAGTGTAGGTTATTCTGGCACCTGCAGAAGTCCTTAGTTCATTTTTAAGCTTCAAAGGAGCCAAGATCTCCCCAAAACAGCTCACATGGCATTGCCCACGCCATTAGCAATTCTGTAGCCACCATCACTGCTGCTGCTGCCTGCCATGAGGCCTCCTCCCCCTCCCTCCCCAAAATTTAGCGCCTGCTTCTTCCCCTATAAATACACCATCAATAGGCAGTTACTATGGCAACAGTGAAGAAACGCGAGGGCTCCACGACAGAGAATGCTGCTGCAGTCACGCATGTATATGTCCCTCCTGCCCCTGGTGGATACTGTAAAGCTGATTGTAGGCTGAAGGAATTTTTAACCCACTCCCCACAGGAACACAGCTGAATCCTGACAGCCTGGAAAGGAAGGAAGGCACGGAGCTGGCCACCACAAAGACCTTCCTTAACCCCACCCCAGGCCAAAGCCTGTGAATCACAGCGCTCTGGGACACACAGCTCCCAAAGTCCCTCACATGGGGACTGGTGGCCACCAGAGCACCTGGTGTCCAAAGACATGGCCTCAAACCACTTCTCCAAATCTTAGCCCTATTGATTTCCACCTCTCAGAACTGATCGGCAGGAAAGGGTTCTGTGATTTCCAAATCTCATGACTCATCGACCCACCCAGTGACACGGCAACTCCCAAATTATACTCAAACTCAAACTCTGGGGCCCCCGTGTCCCCTGGCACTCATGCCATCCGTGAAAGTGCCTGTCCTCGCCCACCTTTGCCCGACACCAACACCTTGGCCAATAACTACTGCTTCTGGCCCAGCAACACTCTTCTCCCGGGTCTGCTGGAGACCCCAAACACCTTGGCCGACAGGGCCTCCAGATCCGCCCCCCTCCCCAACAGTGCCCCATGCCCAGCTCGGTGGCCCTGGACACGGAACCGTGCCCTCGGGGATGGGGCACCCAACCCAAACGGCCTCACCGTTCTCCGGGCCCAGGAGGCGGCCGCCCTGTTTGCGCACGCAGCCCGCCACCTCGCTGCTGCGCCTCTTCCAGCAGGGCCCCTGTCCCCGCCCACCTGCTCCCCGTCGGCCAAGCCCCCCAGCCCAGCCCAGCCCTCTCCTCCCTCTGTCCCTCCCAACCCCGCTGCCCTCCCGCCGCCCCAGGCGCCCGTAGCCCTCCCGGCCAGGGCCAAAGTGCGCCTGGAGCCCCGCCCCTCGCATCCAGGCACCCAGGCCCTGCCCATTACCTCAATACCCCCCTGCCTGCCCCTGATCTCCTCTGGGGTCTCCGCCGCTGCCCGCCCCCCACACCCCGCCGTGCCAGGTCTGGCCTCGCGCCCCGCGCCTCGCGCGCCACCCTCGAACGCCACGACCGCTGTGCCCCAATCGCCAGGCCGCGATCGTCGCGCTGCACAGCGCACCAGGCCGCCAGGCCAGGAGAGGAAGGAGGGGTGGGGGCGACCAGAGCAGGCCGAGGGTTTAGGGCGGGAGGGCCGGCAAGCTGGGCCAGAGGGGCGGCGGCGCGCACCGATCACCGCGCGCCCGCGCCCCACTCCGCCGGCGCCGCCCCTGCCCCCGCCCGTGCCGCAGGGGGGCGGGGCCTGGCCAACGGGCCTGGGGCTCTCTGAGGACCCTCAGACACTTCACTGGACAAGTTGTGACCCAGGGCGTGGGCCCTCGGAAGACCTAGTGCAGCTGCGGGCTCTGGCGGCCGCACCCAAGGCCCGCGCGCCAGGCGTCCCTGAGCAGCCCAACCCCCTCCTGTCCCCCACCAGTGCTCACCTGCCATTCTGGCTGGCCTAGCTCTGGGTGCCCGCCCAGAAGTGAGGGGCTAGTGCCAGCAGCCCGGGCCTGCTTTGAAGGGATTCCACTAAGCCCACAGAAGAAGGGCTAAGTCGAGGCCAGGTTCTGCCAGTGACTAAGTGACCTTGGCTTCCTCACTTACCCACCACCACACCCTGACCCTGGACAACAGGTTTCTCTGCAGTAAAATCTGAGAAATGGGGAGAATCCGGCTGCCTCCTTCTCAAAGATGAAGCTAGATGAAGGAAAAAAACCTTAAGGTGCCAAAAGGGGAGAGAGAGGAATTTTCTGGGCCAGCAAGGAGCACCAGGTTGGGGAGGGGGCTCCACAGGCTGCCCTGTGGGAGGTTCAGCAAGATAGGACAGGACACTAGTAGCATAGGGATGACAGTAGTCCAGGGAAAAGAGCAGGACAAGGTTGGCCAGTTAGAGACGGACAAGATGGTTAGGAGGGACCTAAAGATCTGGGTGGTAAAACCTTTGCAGTGGGTGGATCCCATTGTGCCCTGCTAGGAATGGGACTCTTTTTTGTTCTTTGCACCTCTGAAGTGGAGACCAGCACTGGAGTTGTCAAATGGGAATGAGTCTGAGACACTCCTGAGACTATTCTCGCCCAGATACCAGGCAGGGAAATAGCAACTGCCTTGCCAGGTGGAGGGGAGAGGAAGGCCTCCATCACTGCAGGGACTCCTCCTCTCCAGCTCTCAGGGCTTGCTTAAAACTACCTTGGCCAGATCTGGCTCCCCCACTGCCCCTGAACTACCCTTCTCTCTTCCCTCTTCCACTGCATTGGCACTTTCCTCTCTACTCCAGCCCCCTATTCTGAATCCTTCCCTGGCTTGGTTCCTGTTCCTAGGCTGCAAGAGTCTTCCTTGCCAAAGAAAGACCTGTGAGCCTTCCTCCATTGAAGGCCAGGAAAGCCATGTCCCTGGGGCCTACAAGGCAGGTTCTGCAGAGATAAACAAGATCACTTGAGGATGCGAATGTATATATTCCCAAAGGACTGGATATAGAAACCCTGTTTCAAGGAGAGAGCTGGGCCATGGTTGTTGGTAGAAATAAATCTGAGCTCTTTGGGAACTAATCTGAGCCTCATAGGCCACCAACACATTCCCATCCTGATCTTAACAACCACAGACCCATGTACAAGCGACTGTTGTAAAGGTATTGCTTCCAGTGTGCACTCACAGCTGTATAGATTCTGCTCTCCCCCCAGCACTGCACTTGAGCTTCTGCCTCTAACAACACCAGCCTATTTCTAGTTCCTTGTCTGCTTTGAATGCCTTTCCTCCCACA